CCCCAAAACCCCAAAACCCCGATCTTAATTATTTTGACTTTGAAACTAGGAGGAAATATAATTTTCAAATATTTAATATTTTATTAGCATGTGAAATTATATATGTTTCAATTGTAGCAGCATCGACAAAACGACAACAATGTATCAATTGATTTATTGGTATTCTTTAAGCTCACTCCTATTTCAAGTATCCTTCAAACAATAATGCTACCACTGTGTCATCAAGATTCACCTCTGGGTGTACCTTATCTATAATAAATGAATAAGTAAGTTATTTAAACTAATAATTTCATATCGTTTCACATTCTACATAGCTTTCTCTTATAGAAATATAAGAAGTACGCTTATTATGCGATTTAAATAAATCTTGTAATCATAAAAGATACTTACGCCATAGATCACTTATATTAGTTCCAAAGCTCTTGACAATCTTCTCCCCACCAGGATGCATAGGAATGAATGGAGTTAGGTTATATACTTTGCCATCAATAACGGACCATGCGTCCAGTTCTGAGTCATGCTAAGCTACCTCCTCAAGAGTGTAATACTTTGGGTTCTTGATCCTAGTTTAGACATGATTCTCATAGAACTATAATGAGGATGATTAGATATATCAATTTTAAAGAATATAAATTTAGGCTTACCTGAGTAAACATTTCTTGCTTTTGTTTTTCCTATCTTTCTCTGAACGCCTAAGATTTTTCATCATCATCTCCAAACTCGTCAATTTCAATCTTGGGTGTTGACCTGGAGCGCTAGTATTCCAAAAGTTCTAAATCATCAGCCAATGCCTCCATATCCTATTCCATATTCTCATCAAGTTCATGGTTCTCATGAGCCGAAGGAATCAAGTTAAGCTTAAGACCATCGTAGTCTGCGCTCTTTGGACTGTGGGATGAATTGCTGTGATCTAGCTTATCTAATTTTGGACTATACTATTCCATGATTATTTTATCTTTTAATTTTATATTCTTTCAAATGCCAGCTACTTATTCATATTCCTTGGGGTTTTGGGGTTTTGGGGTTTTGGGGAGATCGGAAGAGCGTCGTGTA